AGAGAATAAACTTCAGGGACTGGCTAGCCTTCCTTAGAGACCACTTGCTCTTAAAAAATCTAGAAGGTCCGTGGCTCTAATAAAAATATTTTATTTTCTCTGTTGCACTATTCTGTGAAAATTTCAAAGCAAACTATCTGACATCATTTCACTTTTAACATGGAGTGGTTCATTGTAGAGATTCAGAAAGAAATGAATGAGAATCTAGTTTTTGCTCCTCTACCTATTCAAAGGCAAGTCTCTTACATATCTTCTTAAAATAAAATAACTCTCTTTGCTTCCAGGGACTTCTGAAAGATCAATGTGATGGTATAAATACAACTCTTTGAATCTCTTAATAGAAAACTGCCAAGTATATACAAAATTATATTATTCCAATGAAGAAGTAATGCAACAAATACATGCAAATATGTGCAGTGCACAATTCAGTAGGGTGTGGGTGTGGGTGTGGGTGGGGTTGGGGTTGGAAAGTACTGAGAGCTTTTCTGGAACTCGCTCTGTAATAGCACAGAAATCATAGTCAACTGGCCAGCTTCCAGTAGAATATAGACCAATTCTATTTATCATCAGAGAGACTGACTTCTCAGAATGATTATCACAAGCACTAAAATATTTCTAAAATGTGGTCAACTTCCTTCTAATACAGCCTTTATAAACAAGTTGGCATTCTGGCATGTAATTGTAGAACAGATTTTTGTAATTTCCTTTCTATACTTTATGAAGAGTTGGATTTGTCAAGAGACTCAAAAACAATCAATCCTACATAAATGTACTTTAGAGAAAGTTTAATACAAAATACAATTCAAATAATGGGATCACAAAATGCAGCACTAATGAAAGGTTAGGGGAAATAGGCGTAATGACTATACTTCTCAGGTTTCCTGGAATATTCCAAATTCCAAATACCCTGAACCACTCTTGTCATAAACTATTGAAATGACCCAGGGATTTTAATATTTAGTATGCAATTTAGAATTTCCACATAGCTTTTTATATTCAAAAGTTATACAAAAATCCTTTGGAGCTTGTGCATTCTAATGATTTAATACAGAATATGAAGTAAATGTGGAAAACAAATCTAGTAAATGTGGAAGCAAAATGAATTTTACAAATGGTATTGATAAATCATGTTTAATGGTTGATAAAGAGAAAAGCAGATGCTGGCATGCAGTGCTGGTCTGGCGCTCACGGCTAGGCTTGGCATTCTTCTGCTGAACACCAACAATTTTAAAGAATGCCAATATCAAACAAGACCACTTAGTGACTGAGATGGATGGAAACAAAAAACAAGAGCACTCTCTAACTGCATGGGACACAGACAAATGAATGAACACAAAAATGACGGTCCCTACAGTCTGGCTAATATGACTAACTGCTGCTTGTTTACCAACTACAACTTTAGTTCCACTCTATTCTTCTTGTCTTCTCATTAAGAATTATTAGAAACATATATGTATAGCCCATGGTCACGAACAATAGTGTGGTGAAGACAGAGGTAGGGGCTGGGAGGAGGTGGGCAAAGAGGTGGGGGAAAATAGGGATATTTGTAATAGTGTTCAACAATAAAAATAAATTAAAAATAAATTATGCTATGTATGGTTAAATTAAAGTTATGTATAAAATAGAAAAAAGTAATTATTGAGATATTCAATCACAGAATTATTCCACTTTCTGACAGCATCCTATCCACAAAGCTTCACTTCCTTGGAGCCTCTCCAGAATCACCTAACACAAGACCACATTCTACAATAAGTCCTTTCCAACACTGTCTTACTAAATGTTCCCAGTTTCTCATGTCTGTATTTTCCATTGTTGCAATGAGTCAGTAAACCTAACTTTGTTCAAATATAGGTATGTTCCTGGTGGTCTTTGGGTGAAGGGAATTGATATAGTAAATATAGATGCATTGTACCCCAACAGAGAAAACAAATTATGCTAATTTTGCTATAGTAATGTCATTAATACCAGTTAAAATATATCATTTCTTCAAAGGATATAACAACTAAAAATTGGATTAATGGTTTTATGGACCAGCATTCAAATACTATTTCTACCTCTTTCTCGTCTTAATTCACCAAACAATTACATTTGAAACTCATGTGAGTAATTGGAATATAAAATAAAAAATCCTATACATTGAAACTAAATAGGTAATAGATACCCTCAGTACCTGTATAAATTCACACAAAATCAATCACAATAAACAAGAAAAGCTAAAACCAATAAAAGAGTGCCATGACCATATCAACTCTTTAAATCATAAATAATGCATATGATAAATTTTAATTTAAAATTTAACATGTTAGGAAGATGCCACAGAACTCCTATATAAGAGTTAGATGTAAGCGTTGTGCGCATTAGCAAAAACAAGGGATAAGAATCACCCACTCTGAGAAACCAATCTTCTATTGATTTGAGTCCTCTTGTCTACAGTTAACCAAGTTTTGATGACGCTTATCTATACCATGTGAAATGTTACAGACTTCAGTGATAGATAGTGCTTCTCAAACTTGAATGTGCAAGACCACCTAGAGATCTTCTTAAGAGCAGATCTTGCCTCACTAGATCTGGAGCAGAGCCCCAGATTCTGCCTTCCAGCTAACTTCCAGTGATGCCAACGCTGCTGGTCCAAGGACCACCCTGAGTAGCAGGAATGTACAAATTAAATGTTATAAGGGCAGGCTAGGAGTTCCTGGGGCTACTGGTCATGCCTGCAATAATTACCAGCTGTACTGTTACAGCCCATGACAAGCCCCAACACTTCAGCAAGAGAAGGTTAGCGGTCAGCTGTTGGAAGTTCTCTGGTGGCCTAAAATTGCCCTGGCAGTAGTGAGGCAGCTGAATAATAAAACTGCATTAGCCACTAGTCATATTCCAAAAGGGAAAAACCAGAATATTCCTTTTCTGAAATTAAAGGCAAAAAGAAGTCTGCTTTTAATGGGATTTGTAATCACACCCACTGTATATTTATCTCCTTGGAACTCTACAACCTTCACTTCCAAACATATTTTCTCCACTCCCAATACTTGGTTCAATTCAGGCTTTACATATAATCCATGCCCTACGCATTAAAACTGCATATGGTTCCCCTGAGGTTTTGATCAGTTTGCTCTTTAATAATCAAAGATATCAAAAAACTAGAGGCTGCTCAAGGGAGACTGTGGGGGACCCTGTGTCTCCTATGCTATAGCACAGAAGCGAAGAGATGAAAGGGACCTAAGAGTTCATCTAGTCCAGTGAGCCCCCAAAGTGTTTGGTTTGGGAGATGTGATGCTCATGAAGTATGTGGGAGTGAGGCCGGGCCTGCCTTAGTGTTGCAGATGAACCATCACAGATGCCCTTAGACTAAATGTTGTTCCATAGTCACAGTGCGTTAGGTAATGGAACACAGTGTGAAACTCTACTCAGGACCTGGACTCAGGTGGCCTGGAAAGCTAAACGTACTTTTACACCCACAGTAACTAATTGCAGTAAAGGTTCTGGATCAGTGACTAGAGTAACTATGGCTTAGAAAGACCCAATTTGAGGCTTCTCTGGATTGGCTGACAACGTTAACCAACTTTCAAGTGTTTTCCCACATGAGGAAATTAGTGGATATTATAATAATAGACATGCTTACTTTATTTGATACATCCTTAAATCTTTTGCTAAGATCTGAGACCACTGCAGATATCAGAGAAAATATAATTTGACCAAGATCTATCTATCTGAAGGATCATTCTCATCCTTTCTCAAACCAGTCCTCTGTTGGACTCTTTACTGGAAAATTCCACAAAATGTTGGTTATATAACTTTATTACCCAACTTCTAACTACATAATATACTATACGTGCTCCAAAAACCACAACTGGGAGATATACAAAAATTAAAATACAAAGAAGTAAAATAAAAACCAGGGAGGTAATCACACTAAGTGGTTTCTGAGGTTTTATAATTACCATACGCTAACTATCCATCCTCTTCAGTTGACTTCTAGATAAAAAAAAAGATACATAGGGAGAAACTCTTTAATTGAGAAAAATCAATTTTCAAAAAAGGAGCGCCATCTCCCTTAATCAGTTTTAGTGGTAGAACACAAGAATTCTAGAGGAAAGAAAGCCAATTGCCGCAATATATAAAAGAGCAAACTAAGACCCAGAAATGTAGAGTAAAACATCTAAAGTATTCAGTTAGCAGGAAAGCCAGAATTGGAAAAAAGTCCATTATTAATTCCAAGACCTGTGGTCTTCCCTCTATATCACAGTATGCTTGTAAACTTTAGGGTTCAGTCATAATATCTTGTGCATGGTAGGCTCTCAAATGTTCATTGTTGGCAAATATAAGGCATGGTATGAGGAGAATGAGAGTCACCTGCCCTACCCCCCACTCAGCTAGACTTGCTGATTTCCACCTATAAGCTCAGTTGCTCCTTGCTGAGCAAATCAAAGCTGACTTGAGGATACGCAGGAGCTGGAAAGCCTTTCTAAAGTTGGACTCTGCATGCAATGTCCTATCACTGGCCCCCTGGACCCCAAGTCATACAGCTCACTCCCAGGCACCTAGTACCACGTTTGGCACATAAAAGGTGCTCAATAAATAGCAATAACTGTCACTAAAAAAAGTTCATTGCTGGAAAAGAAGCAAATATCTACCTGCAAGGGAAACATTAAATTCACACTGTTAAATCAGACCCAGGATGATGCTTCTTATTTTTGTTACTGCCTCATGGCGTGAAAAGATCGCTAGAAATTCAATGAGCCAATGCATAGTTCATCTTCTAGCCAAAGATCAAAATAGATGTCCAGATGTTAAAATACAGATCTTTAAAACAAATGCAAAAACATTCTGCTTTTGTACTGAGAAAAAAAATGAGATTTATTTAAGTATAAGAATGAATTATAGCTTTACCATTTACTATAAAGTATACTGATAATCAATTAAGGAACCTATAAAGATAAAAATGAGAAACTCAATACTGTTGTTTCAGTCTATTCTTTTTTTAAAAAAAAGAATGCAATTACCAGTTTGAGGTGGTAAAACTTTGGAATCTTCAGGTGTTTTAGTTACAGGTGCAATCCATGGCTTTTCACTCGAAGCTACAGTAGTAAAAAGAAAGGGAATTTGCTGAAGTTTTTTGAGGAGGACAAAGAAACAGAAATAGGTTGCTGGTATGGTTGACTATGAGAATCCTGCAATGAAAAGCACATACTCATTCTATCAAAAGCCACCGTCTATCAAGAAGAAATTACTATGTTCCCATCCTGAGAGCATGTGATTGGTTAGTGACTAGAGAGAGACCAAAGGCTGGTGTCATACTCTCAATGTTTCTGAGGACAGAAAACTAACTTAATGACCTGTATGGAATTGATAGAGTGATGATTGATACTAAACTTTTAAAAAACACAATCAGACAAATATGTCTTTTGTTTGTTTGTGTTGCGTTACCAAATCAACCACTTGTCTGGTTATGCTAATGGAATTTATCAGTTCACTGAGGTTTGCAGAGATAGGACCCAGTGAATGTAGCCTCCAGAATGAAGCAATCATCACCCACATCTTAACACCAGATTTCAGGTGCTGTTATTACCCAAGGCGCCCCCAGGTTGCTCAAAAGGGAAGGGTGTTTTTGCCTGAGGAAATTCTGGAAGTCTTTTCGGAGCTGTAAAGAAACACATAAGAAATGTTATGACTTGAGGTGCAAGTAACAGAAAAGATTTTACTAAAGCAATAAACAAACACAGACAGGCAAATTGTTCACGTTAAGTAAGGGACTGTTAGTAGTATATTTTAATCCTGTGTTTCAACATTGGATGATATAACAAAGCCCCCTTTTCTATTTTTTTTATAACCAGATACTAGATTTGAGGAATTTGAGCTTTAATTTTGATTAAATTGGTTTTCTAATTTATTCAGCTATGTGTATGTGTGCTCATTTAGACTCACATCAAGTACCAAACACATCTGAACTAGAAAATGTCCATCGACTAGCATTTAAAAATAGAATTTTAGTGACCACATGGCTTTATAATTAAGCTCACTTCCACCAATAACTTTTTTTTATACTGCGTTCAATAAAGAAATTAGAATTCTAAACAGCTGAAAGATTTGTTATAGAGACTCTTTAGGACCCCAAATTATAATATTTTATAACATCTAAAAACGTGGTGTTGGGGAGCTTATTGTTTTATAAGCTAAGTGTTTCTTCTTTCCTGCGAGGAGATAAATTTAAATAAATTAGCCTAAGGACGGCTTTCAAGCATGCATAAAATTTGCAAGGTAATAATAAGCTGTAGTATTTAAAAATTTTTACCTAGAGTGCTCAGTGGTAACTCAAACCTAGGTATTAGAATAGTTTGCGATCTTTCCGGGGTCTTTTCGCTGAGAACTAAAATAAAGAAGAATTCGGTTAGCAAATGTATGAACTGGGATTTGATGCTGTGGCTTAACCATGATCATGTGACGCGTGCTCACACAGAGTGTGCACTGGCAGCTGATGCCTTTCCAGGACACCGCTGCTTTCCCTGGAAAAGGTGGACATGCTGTTCAGATTTGAAGGTGCACTTCCAAAGGGCTGTGGTGTGGCCTGGATGGTCAGCATCACAAGTACAGGACAAAATACACACCGCTCCTTTTCTTCCGAAGAGAACCAGGCAAGTAAGAGCCCCTTGGGCCAAGAAGCAGCTAACAGGTGTGACATGAAATTCTTATTAGAAAGCATGACACCTTTGGGATTCTCCTCGTTTTTAGTACACACAAGACTTGGAAAAGCCACTGAAAACGTAAAGCACAGACATAGTCAAGACTTCCAGGTTTCCCCCACCTCTCCAAGCCTCCTGGGATAAATGGCTGCAATCTGTTTCTCTGTACATCCTACGAGACTGGTGAAAAGGGTGTGCAGCTAGCAGCTAGCGTCCAGCGCTGCCTCGAACATCATTCAACAGGATCGAGGCATGCGATTAACTCTTTAATGAAATTGGTCCAAGAAATAGGAAGATTAACTACTGTCAGAAAGGAGGTGAGAGATGAGGGGAAAGGTAAGGTATTGGGTTACTTTTCTTTTCAATGAGTGCTGGGAAGGTTTTGTTTGTTTTAGAAAAAAACTTCTTAGAATTACCCAGAGTTGTTTCTGAAATATCTAATGCACTAGATACAGTGGATTTAGTGGTTCCTGGAACTGAGTCAGGAGTCACTGGAAAGTAAAAAAGACAACTTTACAAATTAAGATAAAATTACGAAACAACCGGAGACCCTAAGACATTGGTGCCCTTTAGGATTAATAACTGACACACAGCTCATCACTTTTCAAGCTACTTATGTTAAGGGCTCCAGGGCTTGCTTGCGCCGCAGCCTGACATGACATTGCTCCCAGCTTTTCCTTTCCAGGTTTGGTCCACTCCCATGTGTTACAAGAAGCACTCTGAACTGTCCTCCGTGACAACACTGATCAGATTAATCAGAACTTTTTATTCGTCTGCCTTTTTATTTCTCTTTACCTTCAGGGCTTAGCACAATGTCTGGGGTATAGTAAGCAAATGCATAATAAATGTTTATTAAATGCATTTATAAATGGGCAAATAAAACAATGATCCAGGGCAAAAAGGTTTATTGAGAACTATTACATTCTCTGATTTCTCTCTTTCAAACTGCAGTCAACATGCAAAGGTTGGAACTGGCTTGAAATTATGATAAAGATGCAAATGCTCAGCCACAAGGTGCTCTAATTGCTAGGTCAAAAGCAAAGACCACCTCAGCTAAATAGTTTTCAAGAAAATAAGAACCAGGATCACTGAGATCTAGAGTGAATTGGGAGCTAGACAATTCTAGAAGTTTTGCAGGGTTAAGGACTCGCGGTAACACAATAACACTGAATAGTAAGTTATGGTGTTTAAGTGTTTCTGAAGTGGGAAATTGTGAGGAAGATTTGGAAGAGAACTAAGAAATCTATAGAGTCTATAGTATAGACTCTTCCATGAGATAATGTGCCAAGAGAAGAAGGTATAATTGGGCAGAATCTTTGGGGCAGAAAAGAAGTTGGAGTCATCCACTGGGTCATGCCTATGTTTTTATTGGTATTGAACAATTATATTGAAATCAGAAAAGTACCTAGGAATTTCATTCAAATAGATTATTTCAGCTTCCTGAATAGCTTTTACGTCTGCCCCACCTGCCATGAAGGTGAGGGATGGAAGGTCCATCTCTCTCCTTTAGGCAGAACCACATACTTCTTGCTTTGTCAGAAATATCTCTATTTGAATTGGTTTCTTGAAATCACATTATTTTATTTTTCCACCAATGTTTAACTTCTCTGGACCAGTTATAAGTCTAAGAGTTTAGTACAAGGTAAATACCACTAATACTTCAACTTGTAGCAATTTTATGGATTAAAATTTTTACTCCAGATTGGAGTTACTTTGCTAAATGTGGATTTGGGGAAATTCTTGCCAGATGTTTGCTTCACTGAGTCCTAGATGAGGTGGTACGGCTCTGGCAAAACCCTGTAGTTCAGAGAATAATGTGTCCCCAGTGGGCAGTTCATTCAAATGCTGAATGTTTGTTAGTAACGGCCGATAAACTGTGGGGAAAATGCATTCCACAGTTATCCTTTAAAGAATTTTTACCGAACTATTACATATTATCTATATTGGGATTTTTAATCTCCCAAAGACATTGCTGCTAAATGACATAGCTCACAAGCTATGGATTTGTCAAGGTTAATGACGGCATTTTGCTCAAATGACCACTTGTGAAAGTGGAGAAATGAAAAATGGTCTCATGTCTTCACATAAAAGGAAAACACCAAAACCAGGCCTTATGTTTTAGTATAGGATTATTTCACAATGTTGAGGCAATAACTTTCACTTAGAGTGAAAAATATAGTTTCCATATTACATATTAGTTATATGATGCAGTAGTTCATTTTGCAGTTTTTGTTTTTCCAGACATTAGATTAAGGACCTAGAATCACATCACCTATCGTTTTGTGCTAATGATCGAAATGAATTTCCTACTGGCTCTTCACTGGAAAAAAAAGTACAGCTTGTCAATCATTTACTATTAGAAAAATATTACTTATTGCAAGTGACCAATACGGGGATCTCATTACCTGTTATGGGCTGTGCTGGGATTTTTTCTACCTTTGGTGTTTTAGATTCAGCTGGTAATGCCAAGGTTTCATTCTTAGCTAAAAAAAAAAAAAAAAAAAAAAGTCAGAGAACAAACAGTTTACCTCACTTCCCTATAACACAGTGTCCAAATACAATTCATTCAAAACATAATCAAGTAACAGACTATTTCCAAAAATCTAGTCTGCTTTTATCTCTTCACACCAGGCAGTCAACAAATTTATTGTGCATTTCTACCAGGGATTAGCATGAATAGAATAGATGACAGTGTTCAGAATCCCTTTTTGTTACCATTAGTAATTAAGATCTAAGTTGGCATTGGAATGAAGGAATAAATCACAACCCAACACTTGGATAACTCTCAAGTCATTCTTATTCATAGAGTTCCTGGAAGGCATATGTTGCATTGCAAATACTCACTGGAATTTTATATTGAAGTACTCCTAATTTTTAAAAAAATCAATGAATAGAAAATTTCCATTATTATGCATGGTAAAACATGCAATAGGTTCAGACACTGAAATTTTTAAAAAGCACAAGTAACACACTTGGGAAACTAACTTATTTGAAAATACTTGTGGCAAAAAAAATACCAACAGTAATTTATTTGAGCCATGTGTTAACAAACACCTATTGTTTTGGTCACTGAGGGGATTCAGTGTAAAGATTAAAATAGATTTTTTTCCCTCTTCAGAGAACTGTTCAGGAAACTTCCGTCTAAAATGTAGTTATTTTTTTTCAAAGAAAGTACATTTCTATACCAGAGTTTCCCAATGATTAAGATATTCCCCATTTTAAAAATGCACCAAGGATTAACTTGAGTCAGCTATTTCACATACAAAATCAATAACCTACTTATAATATTTTGAAACAGTCTAGTGGCATGAAAAAATAATTAATCATTGAGATACCCTGATCATGTCACTTTGAACTGATCATAATTAGATGGGATTTTGAAGAGTCCAAAGGCTATACAGGAACTTCTTGGGTTCCTCAACTTTGGCACTATTGACATTTTGGGCTGGATAATTTTTTGGTGTGAGGCTTTCCTATGTTACAGGATGTTGAGTAGCACCCCTGGCTTTTACCACTGGATTCTACTAGCATGTATGTAGTGGTGGCAGCCAAAAATGTCTCCAGACATTGCCTAATTTCCACGGGGGTACAAAACTGCTCTCTGTTGAGAACAATTGATCTAACCTGTCCTCTCAAAGTTCTTTGAGGATGCAAATTTTATAACTTCCTTTTGTAGTTCACATTCCTGCTGTAAAGACCATTTTCTTTTTTATAGTTGACATGGGCATGACATACTTATTTACTTGTGATGGACAAAGGCAGTTATAAAGTCATCCCTTTCACAATGATAATAGAAGCCAATCAATTTTTAATCTGCATTATGGAAACATTCAATAGATTCCTACATAGAGCTAGTTATTTTCAGGAGTAACTTAAAATGCTAGAAATAGGTGTCACGCATGCTATGTACTTGCCATATCATATCTAATGGCCATGTGTGTGCTTCGGATTCATGAGCACATGAAGTTGTACAGCATGTTTGCACAGCAGAAATGTTTGATATCATTGTTCAAATTGATTTAGCAGGGCATAGAGAGAGAGAGGACTCTATTTCTAGAATAACTAAAAATGCCAATCCAGTATAATTTTACAAAAAAAATCCTATTTTTGAAACGTCTAAGTTTGATCAACCCTTTTTCCTGCCCTTTGTTGTAATCCCAGTTTTTGTTTAGAACCACTGTGATTGTTTGCACAGGAAAAACCATTCAGGTTACAAATTTTTATGAGCAAGTTCTGGTTCTGTTATTTTCAGGATGTGCCATAGGAAGGTGTTTGCTTTCACTTCTCAAATGTAAGATTATAAGGTTTCTCTTTAAGGGTCTTTTCTTTTTCAGTGTACTCTGATCCTTTAGGATATGTTTGCTAATCCTCTCCTCCCTGTGTAACATCCTGTGTTCTTGGTGGTTGCCAGGGTGACTAGGACTATTTACTTACTAACTTATTTTAACATTTAGACTTTCATGAATGCTCTAAATTGTGTTGCTTTAGCTTCTTATATTCTAAACATGCCATTAGCTGGCAATCACCTTCGCCTAAAATTAGCCTGAAGAAAAAAGGGTAAACTATGTTCCCAAGAGAGAATTGTATTCTTTACACATCACCAATTCCTTACAAAGGCATATTGTATTTCTAAATATTGCCTTTCAGAATCAGAGAAATTGGTAGATGGAGAAATATTTAAATGGGGGGGATTTTATGTTTCCTATCAAACCCAAACATTGTGCATCATCTATGTACAAGTGCAGTCTTGGCACTGGTGGAGCAAAATCCCATCAGAATGACCTAAAACCCGGGAAATTTCTTTTCCCTCTCTGATTCTTCTGTACCTTTTTTCCAACACTGTTGTTTCCGTTAATTTTTGGCAAGCTAAGTCTTGACTTTGGCAAACCCTATGTATATCCCTTGGCGATGTGGGTGTAATACTAATTTTCTTGTTTGTATCTCTCATTATTCACACCATGTGTTCTTAGAACAAAAGCTAGTAATTTCTCGATGTCCCATGATGGATGCTGCTGGAATGAGGATATTATTTTTAGAATTTACCCCATCAAAAACTTGGACTTTTCTGAATTGTGGTGATAAATAACCCCAGGAAAGTTTATTTCTTCCTCAGTAGTATAAAGAATTGCTTATGTCTGCATTAAAAAATTACAGTATATTTAAAATATAATTTTTAAAATACAGTCTATTAAGATGTTACATTTGACGGATTTACTGTAGATTTTCAAACATATTGTCAATCTCTTCAATGCATAAAAAATTGCCAGTGTTAAATTTGACAGGTGTTTTCCCAGAAATACAAGTTAAAAGAGATATTTAACTATTCGCATACCATTTCATCTCTATTAAAATTACAATCCTGAAGGTTTAGTGAATTATATCAGAAAAATAAAATAAAAACAAAACAAAATCCCTGAAGCTCTAAAGTAAACAAAACACCTGAATTGATATTAAGGTAGCTTGTGGAACTTTGCAAAAACCAAAAGGAAATATCACTCAAGACTAAGGACTAGGCCCGGCAGTGATGGCGAACCTATGACACGCGTGTCAGAGGAGACACGCGAACTCATTTTTTTGGTTGATTTTTCTTTGTTAAATGGCATTTAAATATATAAAATAAATATCAAAAATATACATCTTTGTTTTACTATCATTGCAAATATCAAAAAATTTCTATATGTGACACGGCACCAGAGTTAAGTTAGGGTTTTTCAAAATGCTGACACGCCGAGCTCAAAAGGTTCGCCATCACTGGACTAGGGAATAAAACATCTTCTAATTCAAAACTGACAGCAATGGTCTGGGGGAAAAAAACTGCTCATTTTCAATCTCCTTCACATCCTGGGTTTTGTAGTTTTGAGAGACAGATTAGGGACCAAATCAATAAGAGATTGGCTGGCTCCTTTTTTTCTCTCTCAAAACAAGTTTCCAGGTGAGGAGCAGGGCAATATGCAGGCTCTAGACCAGTGATGGCGAACCTTTTGAGCTCCGTGTGTCAACATTTTGAAAAACCCTAACTTAACTCTGGTGCCATGTCACATATAGAAATTTTTTTATCTTTGCAACCATAGTAAAACAAAGATTTATATTTTTGATATTATATATATGTATATATATGTATATATATATATATATATATGTATATATATGCCATTTAACAAAGAAAAATCAACCAAAGAAATGAGTTCACGTGTCACCTCTGCCACGGGTATCATAGGTTCGCCATCACTGCTCTAGACAGAGAACAAGTGAATGCAAAAGTCCTGAGCTCCGATTCCAAAGGCAGGTTCCCTGAGGGCATTTAATTTGGAAGCGTCCTGGTTTTGAGCACAGTGTGTATAGATGATGTGGAGTTGAGTCACAGGGTTTTACAGTTAAGTGTGAGATGATGAAGCCTGATGTACGAATTAAGGATATGAAGCCTAGGGTCACGAGTCTATGTCCTTGAAGGTAACTCATTCTAGTACTAACAGCTATGAATATTTTACAGTAAACATGTAAGGATTGAACAAAATCACAAAGATTTACTGGCAAATATTTTAACATCTTAAAGAAATGGTGATGCATAAGTTTTGAAAGTTTTTCTAAAACTGTAAGGCTAATAGACCACCTATTAAGTGTTCTTTACCCACTTAAGCTTTGTTCCTCCTTCTTCCAGGAAGTTCTCAAAATTAACAGCTAAGGAGAATTTAGGAGTTCCTAATTTTTAAAACAGATACAGTCTGATTGCCTACCATCAGAAAACAAATAGGTTAGGTCTCCAACAAGGGAAACATAAGTCTGAGGTCTCGGTATGGGCTGTGTAGCTCATCATGATAGGCCCCAGAAATGTGCTATCTGGCACAGAGTAATGCTTAATGAGTATTTGTTGATTGAGTGCTACCAAACAGGGGCTTGGGCCTCTGTTTTTGCATCCATACAATGTGAAGAGTCGATTATGTAAGTGCTGAAGTTCTCAGCTAGTGCCTACTTTAGGGAAAATACTATGCAATTTTAAGTCTTGTTTCAATTTCTATCACATTACACTGTCTCCTTTCATATTTATCAATAGCCCAAGACATTCTCCAGTCAGTCAAAGTATGGTTTCCAGCAGCATCAGTATCACCTACTGGTAAGGAATGCAAATTCCCAGGCCCCAGCTCAGACCTACTGAATCAGTAACTCTTGGGGCGGGGGGGTGGGGGTGGGGGCTGCAGTCTGTGTTCACAAGCTCTCCAGGGTGTGTGATGCTTGATTAAGTCTGAGTATCAAACTAATTTGATACTCAAATGCAGCAACTAAGCCCAGTGACCACAATTGTTCCCTGAGCTCCCTTTAAAAGGTTTTGCTGTTGTTTCCCAAATTGTTATGTTTTATGTTTTTGTTTGTCTGTTTATTTTCTATGTTTTTTTAAACACTGAAATCATAGTAGGTTCTTTCTAGAAGTAAGAAGTAGCACCAATCTCAAGTAAATAATAATGCTAACAGCCCTGACCTTTATATCAGTTCTTATAGAAAGTATCTAGTGGTCCCTTGATAGTATACTAAGTATAATTTATAACAATTACTCTATTTGAAAATTATATAAATGTGTGTATTTGGATAAATTTGACAAATGTTCACTCTTCTTTTATAAATGTACATTTATTTAATATTTTATATAAATATAAAATAACTACTTCCATACAGAATGTGATTTAATACCTTCAACACTCCAACTTCTCTGCCTCTTACTTTCCCCCCAACTTCTTAATAGTGGTAACATATATATAACATAAAGTTTATTATCTTAACCATTTTTAAATGTAAAGCTCAGTAGTATTAAATCTTATATAATAAAACCCTAATATGCAAATTGACCAAAAGGCAGAACTCCTGGCAGGAACGACCGGTCACTATGACACACACTGACCACCAGGGGGCAGACGCTCATCATAGGGGCTCCCCCCTGGTGGTCAGTGCGCTCCCACAGGTGGAGTGCCGCTGAGCCAAAAGTCAGGCTCATGGCTGGCGAGCGCAGTAGCAGTGGCGGGAGCCTCTCCCGTCTCCACTGCAAGTGGGTGGTAAGGAGAGAGGGGCTCCAGGGGGATTGGGCCTAAGCCAGCAGGCAGACATCCCCTAAGGGGTCCTGGACTGTGAGAGGGTGTAGGCCAGGCTGAGGGATCCCCCTAAGTGCATAAATTTCATGTACCAGGCCTCTAGTATTTTCATAATGTTGTACAACCATCACCACCACCTACCTCCAGAACTCTTATCATCTTATAAAACAAACTCTGTACCATTAAACACTAACTCCTCATTCCTCTCCTCCCTCCAGTCCCTAGCAACCATCCTTCATAGTGTATTGATCTTTTTGTAACTGGCTTATTTTGCTCAAGGTTTTTCAATATTATAGCATTCGTCAGAATTTCCTTTCCTTTTAATGAAATATTCCATTGTATGTATAAACCATATTTTGCTTATTCATTCATCTGTTGGACACATTAAATTGCTTCCATGTTTTAGCTATTATGAATAATGCTACTGCAAACATGAGTGTACAAAATACTTCTTTGAGAAATTTTCAATTCTTTTGGTTATATACCCAGAAATGGAATTGCTGGATCCTATGGTAATTTTATTTTTTTGAGGAGTGGTCATATTGTTCCCATAGCAGCGATACCACTTTACATTCCTACCAACAGTACATATGCCTGTCCCTTGCTTTTACTTTGAGATCTCAAATAGCCGATTTTCTAGGTTCCTTGGATATTCTAAGAATATCAGTTCTAGTACTAGTACACTGAAAGTTCAATCATAGAACTTTGATGCTTACCTAATTGTGTCTTGATTGCATCTGAAATCTCAAACATTATGGATGTAGGAAGTTTTACGGTGGTTTCATTAAGACCAGGAATAACAAGGTGGACTGCAAAGAAACAGAAGTAAAGATGAAAGAAAGAAAATGCATCATGACATAAGATAAAGCTCAGAGTGGCAGATATTAGTAAATATCGAGTTTAGCACTTATTTTGCTTAGTCATTTTTAACCCCAACTTTAAAATGTTGGAAAAAAATATGACAGTACCTTTTACACAGAATCTTTTTCTTATTAGGAACTGAACTACCAAAATACTCTGGCTTTTAATCCATAAACTTAAAAATTGTAAAATGGGTGCTTAAGATGTGTGGTGAACAAAGGACACCACTATTAATAATACATTTTTAAAAGAGAAGTTCAATATGACAAAGACTCCTTCATAACTGCAACAACCCTGTGGGGTAGGATGGGTTCCATCGTTCCCACTAGGCATGAGCTAGAGTTGTTTCTCTAACACATTGGGATAGAGGTAGCATCTCTTGGCTCCTAGCCTGGAATAAACACAGCCGGGATCCTAAATATTGAAAGGAAATGAATCAACATCAATTTAACAGATCTACTCACAGTGCAAAATTCCATAAAAACTCTATTAAAAAAAAATAGCCCGACTTTCTTAATCTTGATATAGAGTTCAAGACTGACTCACCCAGTATTGTTCCTCCAATGGGAGTCCTATCTGGGGATTTAGTTGAAGCTCTGTGAGTAACATTCTGAATCACTGTTGAAATACAAAAAGATAATAGTGTGTGTTGGGGGGAAATAGTCAGAAAGCAGTAAGAAGCTAATAATGTGAAGTCATCTGCACTGAAGACGCACTGATCTAACTTTCCAATTAATAAAAAGGAACTCATTGGGTTGACTACACAGCACATCTTACCTTAACACCAATCCCTATAAGTACTGAAAGGCTATTATTACTTTATCATGGAGTGTTCTAATCTAAGGAGCTGAAAATTTCCTAAAGAACTAGCACAAAATGAGGCAATGACCTAATAAATTAAAAAATATATGTTCTCAAAGCAAAGAATCATTGGATAATTCCAGTACTAATCGACCCTACTTTGAAAGTATACTTGTGACATTATTTTCTTAAATTGAAGAACAATTTTAAGTCCCCAATCTCTTCTACCAAGAAACTTTCTGGACATAATAAAGTGGGCCTGGAGAGACTTATGCTAAGTGAAATAAGCCAGTCAGAGAAAGATTATCACATGATCTCACTCATATGTAGAATCTAATGAACCAAATTAACTGATGAACAAAAAATAGACCCAGAGACATAGAAGCATGAACAGACTGTTGAACCTCAGAGGGAAGGCAAGGGAGGGTAGATCGGAAGAGATCAACCAATGAATTTATATGCATATATGCAAACCTGTGGACATAGACAATGGGGTGGTGAGGGACAGAAGTGGGCTGGAAGAGGTTAAGGAGGGAAAAAGGAGGACCTATGTAATACTTTCATCAATAAAGATTTTTAAAAAATGTTAAAAATAATAATTTGAAAAACTGAGAGTCAAAACAGAAACAACTGGATAATGAAATAAAATAAGACATTATAATTCTTGAAGCCTGGATGTCTTACCTTTCCCTAAAGTTTTCATTTCATTAATTCATATCCTATGAATGATTTTATTCATGTTTGCTAGCTTAACACTAAACTAAGCCACACATATTTAATGGGCTTTTTAGAATTGAATACTTATGACTGATTTGTCTCTGATTATCCAAACAATGTGACTTGCCAGGACTAGGCCTATTGGTACAAGAGCCAAAATTACCTATTAACTTCTAATTTACTAGGTCATACTGATTACTTCAAACATTTTCTGAAAAACAATAATCAGAGAAGTTGAGAAAAAATGTGTTATGTTGAATGATCTGAATTTAAAAAGTATATTAAAAATAGTTATAAATACATATCCAGAGCAGACTTATAAAATTACCTTGCTTGATGATTGTTATTGGGATCAGCTTCCTTGGGACATATGCTGGCTGAAAAAAGAGGAAGAATTAGTTTTTGAGTTAGTGCTAATAAAAAAAAAAAAGAAGAAGAATTGGAAATAGCCCTTTCTTGTCTTTAATGAAGCCTCCCACGACACTGGTTTAACAGTTGCTGGAAAGATCTTTGGTACATATATATCTGTCTCTACTTTATTGGACAACCTCCCCTCATAAATGTCCAAAGATTTGACAGAAGCAATTTCTTCAGAACTCCCATTCGTTTACTTAGAAACTGCAATGGAAAGAAACTAAATCTTCTGGGTTGAATACTAGCTAATTTTCACTTTATTTCAGGTGTAACCTGTCAAACTCTGCCTTTACATTCTCTCTCATATAGATGTTAAGCTACATATTACTTTCTAAACCAAACAACATCGATTGTTTGAGTTCACCCACTTGCTGCCACTGCTACTACACACACACACACACACACACACCATGAGCTCCTGACACCACACATTCCCTTGCCCAAGAAGGTTGAGCTTGGAATCAAATCTAGACATTTCTACTTCTAAAGCCTGTACTCTTAACCATTCTGTACATATTTATGCACAAGGGACGTCAGAATTAGAAGGGCGGTTCTCAGGAGACTGTGCACTTTTATCTCTCCCAAATTGCCTCAGATGTCCCACTGGGAGTTTTAAAATCATAGACCTACTTGAACTAGGGATGGGTATAGTGTGAACTTTAAAGGGAAGTCATCACTGTGAGCCAAGGATAAGACAGCCAAGGAAGAGACATGGGAACAAAATAAGAGAAAGGCAACAAGTGATATAGAGAAGAATTAGGTTGAGTTACAGAGGTAAGCATGACATCAATTTCTTTTTTAAAAAATTGATTTCAGTAAGAGAGAGAAACATCGATGTGAAACATTGATTGGTTGCCTCCCACATGCACCCTGACTAGGGATCAAACCCTCAATATGGTATGTGCCCTGACCAGGAATCAAACCCACCACTTTTGGTGCATGGGATGAAGCTCCCACCAACTGAGCCACATCAGCCAAGGAGACATCAATTTCTTGATGCTTAAAGTGCATACATAATACAGATATTCTACCTACTAGACCTGTTGATAAATTAGGATGTGCTGAATGAAATAGTTTCAACATAATTGTGAGCAAAAGAGACTAACATGTTATCGTTTTAATAAATGACCTTTCCCTAATAAAGAAGTGGCATTATACCAGGCTTTTTTTGGCTTTTTTTTGGCTATTTTTCTTCTTGTATTAAGGTCCTTATGTTTTAAAATAAATAAATGAACAAAATTGACTATCATCAGATTATTTAAAAAATAATCTACCTATTGACTCAGAGCTCTAGACTGAATGCTGTGCCCCTCCTAATTCATGTTAAAACTTACTCCCCAATGTGATGGCATTAGAAGGTGGGGCATTTGAGAAGTGATTAGGTCATAAGGGTGGAACCCTCATAAATGGAATTAGTGCCCTTATAAAAAGACCCCAGAGAGCTCCCTCCACCCTTCCACCATGTGAAGACAGTAAGAAGATGGCTGGTTGTGAACCAGGAAGTGAGCTCCACCAAACCCCAAACCTGCTGGTGCCTTGATCTTGGGTTCCCAAGCTTCGAAATGTGAGAAACAAATGTTTCCTGCTTCAGCCACCCAGTCTATGGTATTTTTGTTATAGTACCCCAAATGGATTAAGACGCCCAGCAACCTAGCCTAAGGAATTAATCGAAGATACAAATAATTTTTTATGTGTAAGGGTGTTTATTCCCCGATGTGAAACAATATCATTATCCAAAAACAGAGGTTTTGTTAAATAAAGTATGGTTTGAGTTTTTGACATCTATTTAATAAAGTAGAAAAATATGCATGTGATAAATACAAAGGATACAAGTTTGTAACCACAACCTAACCTGATTTTATAACAAATATGTATAGATATAAGGCCAGAAGGAAATAGATCATAGTTTTTTTAACAGTAGTTTTTGGGTTTTTTGCTGTTAAAAGAGAAATTTTATTACATAAGAAAATTAAAAGACAATAAAGTAAGGAGGTTGTGTGGTAGATAGTAAAGAGGAATAGATTCAACATCAAGAATTCTGACTTACAAATAGTAGTTATTTTTATAAGCTTATAGTAATTTTATTTCATATACCTTTCTCTATTTTTCAAATTTCTTACATGAATGAAGTACATTTATAATTAGAAAAAGTTATTTTAATCAACAGTCTGTTCAGTTCCTACATATGCTCCTGCACTGCATAGCTCATATACTATTGGCAAAGAGAAAATATCCTATCTAATAATAGACACACATGGTAATTAACCGTACCTCCGACACACTTTCCATTGGCTAATCAGGGCGATATGCAAATTAACTGCCAACCAAGATGGCGGCCGACAGCCAGGCAGCTGAAGCAAACAGGAGGCTTGCTTGCTCCAGTGAAGGAGGAAGCCAAGGTTCCCTGCCTGCCCCTGCCCACCTCTGAGCTGCACTCTAAGAAACAATGTTGCAATTATAGAAGCTAAACAAACCCAGATACCTGCTTTCAGCAGCCGAGGTCTCAGAGCTGGAGCTGAGCCTCAGACCTAAAGCCGGCTCTCAGTTCCAGTGACAGCCATAGAAGGTAAATAAATCCCAGAATAAAAAAAAAAAAAGGAAAAAGAAAAAAAGGAGAGGTTGGGAGCTTCAGTCACCCACCAGCCTGAAAACGGCCCTCAGCCCCTCATCCAGACTGGCCAGGCACCCCAGTGGGGACCCCCCACCCTGAAGGGGGTGTCACCAGCTGCAAACAGCCATCATCCCCTCATCCAGGCTGGCCAGGCACCCAAGCAGACCCCCACCCTGATCTGGGACACCCTTCAGGGCAAACCAGCTGGCCCCCACCTGTGCCCCAGATCTCTATCCTATATAGTAAAAAGGTAATATGCAAATTGACCCTAACAGCAGAATGACTGGGAATGACTGGTCACTATGACACACACTGACCACCAGGGGGCAGATGCTCAATGCAGAAGCTGCCCTCTGGTGGTCAGGGTGCTCTCACATGGGAGGAGCTCTGCTCAGCCACAAGCCAGGCTGATGGCTGCCAGTACAGCAGTGGTGGTGGGAGCCTCTCCTGCCTCCTCAGCAGCGCTAAGGATGTCTGACTGCAGTTTAGGCCTGCTCCCCACTGGCAAGTGGACATCCCCTGAGGGCTGCCGGGCTGCCAGAGGGATGTCTGATTGCCATCTTACGCCCAATCCCCTGGGGAGTGGGCCTAAGCCAGTAGGTAGTCATCCCCTGAGGGGTCCCAGACTGCAAGAGGGCACAGGCTGGGCTGAGGGACCCCCTTTTCCCCCCGAGTGCACAAATTTTTGTGCACTGGGTCTCTAGTCTATGCTAATAAAAGAGAAACATGCAAATTGGTGTCACTCTGCTACACCTACCAGCCAATTAGAGGAACTATGCAAATTAACCCAACAAAGATGGAGGTTAATTTGCATACGCAGGCATGGAGCAAAACTAAAGGTTCTGGCCAGAGTGAAGACTGACGACTGAAGACTGAAGAGGTGGAGAAGCCAAGCCTCACTGTGGCCGAACCAAAGGCCTGGGTCCCAGGTGCCAGAGGAAAATCGGTGTAGGCAGCCAGGGGAAGGAAGTCCTATTGCGCAAATCTTCATGCAACGGGCTTCTAGTTGTAAGTATAATTAGTATATGATTTTTCCCAGGCAAGAGGTGGAAGTAGGAATAGAAGCATAACCTTCAGGAGGAGAGAGAAAAAAATCTCAGCTTTGATGTTGCACTGGCAGTAGGATGTCTTTCACCCTTTTCATAAGAAAATTAAATATGAGCACTTGTACACAGGAGCCTTCCCCAGAGAGGGAGTCAGCCCCATGGCACTGCCTCATGTGTCCAGCTTCCTTCCACCTGCCCTGCTCCAGTGAAGGGTTGACAGTCCATGGCCTCTATCATTTCTCAGAATTCCAAATGCCTGCTGCAGCGACCTCCAGTCACATGGAGCACTTGCCAGAGGAGCCACACCATCTTCGCGGGCATGGATAATGGTTTTTGTTAGAGCTGTGACTACAGCTCCAAAGAATTTTGAATGCTTTGTTTTACTGAATGTAGTGCCCGTTTTGCTGAATGTGAAGATTTTCAGAGAGACATCACATTATAGCAGAAAGGCAGCATGTTGCTGGGTTGAGCCTTTGAGTTGCATTATTCCAATTGTCATTTCTTTTTCTGTGATGATTTTTTTAAAACAATTTTTTTTACAAGGACAAATGGAAAATATTTCACTCTTCACATGGACCGAACAGAGTTTCTCTTTGAGTTCATACCTGAGTTAGACCCATGTTCTACTAAGAGGATGGAAAGACTATATGTATAATATGTGCTGCCAAAATACAAGGAAATCATTTAGCTGCAGAATCCAATTATTTTTATTCTTTCTAGACCTATAGTTACTCTCTCGCCTAATCTGTAATCCAAAGATGCTCCAAGATTAGACTATTGAGCAGGTAGCTGCTTTTCTGTAAGCAGGTTTTAAAAGGGCATCAGGAGAGTCCCTGTGTGTCTCTGTTGAAGGCACTAAAATTCCCAAGAAGAAATCCATACTGTGAATCCTTTCCCTGTGTTTTCTTATAAACATGTAGGGAAATGTCTGTTACCTGGACTCATTGGAAAATGAAATATTGTGATAATTTCCAAGTTTAACCAATTGCAACCCAATTTTAATTAAAGTGTTTCAGGAATAGTGTTTTTGTTTGCTTTTTTGTTTAAAAGGTACCAGTAATTTGAACCTACCATTTCAGACTTGCTCTTATGAACATCTATCATTTTGTCTAAAACTCATTGCAGCAGATGGGGGTGTGGGGGTGGGGAGCGAGGCAGTGAGAGTCCCACCGGCTGCTGCACAGTTTAGCTGGTGTGGCCTCAGCAGAACGTGATGTCTATGGACACCATCATGGTGCCAGTTTTCTTCCTTAGGTCATTTCCTTGCTGATTCTTTTCTCTGCAGCTTGCTGACCCCCATTCCTGC